ATGGAGAGATGGAGTAGTATTTGCCGTTTTGTTTTTACTAAGACAAGATGCACAGGCCCTTCTCCTTAAAAATGTCGATTTTGTCGTGTTATGAGGTGGGGAGAGACAATATGCTTTATGTGTGGAGGCTTTTGTGAAGACAAACCAAAATGAAATGAAAAGAAAAGAGGCTTCAATACTAATAACAAAAGTAAACATTAAGATTAGGACATGGATATTACAATTTATCAGCAAAAGAGGTGTACTTTGGAGTGCAGTACGAAAGGCTATTCTGGTTCTTCTGAAGCTAGCACTCTCTTCCCACCTCTGGAGTTATTATTTTTTCTGGGGTTATTATTTTACTTGATAATATGATAAAAAAATTTAGATGTTTAAAAAACAAAGTACCAGTCCATATATTTTTTTAATATCACCATAATTTTATAAAAAATAAATTAAAATTAAAAAGAATTATAAAACTCAATTTATAATAATTACCTTTTTATTTAATAATACTATCAACCATTTTTATTTAATAATAGGATTAAAAAAATAGATAATCATGAAAGTGAGTACTAACTTAGTATCAAAACCAAAATGTTTTTTCAAGAGTAAATAAAACTGGAAGCTCTAATTTACAATAAATTAAATGTAAGATATGAAAATGAAAAAAAGAAAAAAAAGAAAAGAAAAGAAAAGAAAAAAGAGAGTTACTGTTCCAATAAAGATACGAGGAGGGTAACATTGATTTGCCCTCCTCGAGTAGTTCTTGTTAATGAACAACAGGGGCCTCGGTAACACGGCATTCCAGATAAACATCATGACAAGGAAGAATAAACAGTCTGCCATTAATGTGCTAATTAGGGGTGTCTTGGAAGAAGAGAGACAAATGAATTGAATATTGGGTCCGTAAGGTTAAGTATGGATATGATCACATGGTGCAGGGCATGCTTTGATTCCTTTAACAAAAGCAGAAAAAAAATCACACCTCAAAATAGAAGAGAGGACTGGGAAAGACGCCCACCCCTGATCACATGCTTCCAGGGGACCATCTACCCCCTTGGTTAGAGTTAACCCCAAGTGCATGAGAAGATCCCAAAAAACAATACAAAAAGGAAGGTTGCTGCATCAAATCCTACTTCTCACTAAAAGACAACTACAAACTCCAGAGGAGTTCATCTGCATGCTGGATCACAGTCACCTTTGTTTTAAAAGAACATTTCATGCCTTGAGTGCTGCAACTGTCCTTTGCTTTAGATCTTGTAGTAACACTATATATATATTCTGGCCATTAATAATACTAACATATAAAGCCACCATTCTAGATGCCCGGCCCCTGTTCTTTTTTCGATAAGGAAAAAAATCCCGTCCAAGTTTAATAAAGGAGCACCACCTCCCTACCTTGGAAACGGAAGGAAACTTCTCCATGGCATTAATTCTAGGAAAACTCGTTGGATCTATTCAATAAAGAATGTTTGGACACCAAGGGATCATAATTCTCTTCTGGGATAGCTAGTATATATCTTAGTTAATTTTAAATGCTGCTCTGAAAAAAGATTTTTGGTTGCTGCATTAAATTGTCATCACGCTATTTGCTATGGGGATTGAGGAAAAACTAAATCCAGCAAATCAATCTGATCACACTAATTACAAATGGTATTTCATATCTGTTGGAGTAAGTGTGTGTATGTGCGTGTGTGTTAACACTTTGGACAGCATTCATATAATTAGGTGCAAATTAATTACTTAATTATATGCAAATTGAATGATCTGCAAAGTCTCTCTCTCTCTCTCTCTTTCTATATATATATATATATATATATATATATATATATATATATATATATATATATATATATATATATATATATATATATATATATATATATATATATATATATATGGCACCTTCCAGGCCAGCAGGAAAGTTACGGGTCGGTATGTGTCGGTAATAGAATTTGAGTGATCAATGCGTTATCAGAACATGAAGTGGAAGTAACCCAGAAGCCCAGCAGGTTAGATAGGATTTCGCAAATCTGAACTGGTGACCATTAAGCAAATAGTACTTGAATATATATTCGTCATAAAATCAAGAACTAGCTAGCTACTCACGAAATATGAAGTCTTTTAAACTAATTATTTTCACAAGAGTGCATGTATTGGTGAGTGGGTTGTTGTGAAATTCCCAATAAAATGGTCGGGTGTCCATGATTTGATTGGCTTAGATACCTAATTCCAATGCAAATTAATAGATGAAGACAACCTATGTCATCTTGAATCCCTCGAGCAACGAAATGCTAATCTAAGATTTCTAGAGTTCATTATGTTAATCAAAGAAAAACCTATCTTCTACTTGTTTTTCTTTTTTATCCACATCTTACCGATTCCTGCTTCCAAGAGAGCTTTAGATTCTTGATCAATTAATTTGGGTTCCCTTGGGACGAATTTACCAGTACTTTATGATAAGACACATCGCTCATGACGTGCTAGAATTTTGTGTGTGTGTGTGTGTGTGAGAGAGAGAGAGAGAGAGATGCCTTGGCCAATAAAAAACGATAGATAAGCTTATAAAACCACAAGGTTACGCAAAACTGTAGAGATTTTGGAGATATACATTACATGCACGAGAGAGCGAGAGAGAGAGAGAGAGAGATAAAGGGGAAGGGGAGCTACCTACCTAGCTAGTTGTTAGCCCTATACTTGATAATTCCTAGGCTGATTGAAACTCGAAGACCCTGGCAAACACTTGGGTAGAACCATGGGTAAAATGTATTTGGCAAGAACACCATGGCCAGGTGGGGTTAGTGTATTAACTACTTCGAAGGGATCAGGGATGGGTAGGTGGAATGCAATTGCTTGCTTAATCCATCGAGCATTTCCGGTGGGCTCTATGATTTTCAGGGCAAGAATATTGCCGGTATCCTGGTCACTCAACTTATTAAAGCTCTTAATTGCACACTCGCACGAAAGGGCAGGCATCGGAGATTGGCACTGATTTATGAGCCTTGGTTCGAGTATCTGATGATTGTTCATGGATTTGACAGATGTTGGAAGATGATGGGTGCGCCATACTGGGGGTAAAGTAGCATGAGGACTGTTGGTGCATGCTGATAGCTAGGGGCCAGTCTGAAAGAGAATCGTTGCAGTAATATAGCAAGCGTTAATTTGGCTTGCAAGATGGCTAGATTTTGGCCGATGCAGGTGCGGACTCCGAGCCCGAACGGAATGAACGCCACGTGATGCTTCGCAGCGCGGGCCACACCACCGGAGAAGCGAGCAGGATTGAATTCATTTGCATCATTGCCCCATATGGATTGATCATGATGAAGGGCGAGGATCGGTATCAAGATCTCTGTCCCACTTGGGACTTTGTAGTCCCCCAGCTCCACATCAGCCTTGGACCGTCTGATTGTGGCGATTGTTGGTGGGTACAACCGTAAGGATTCATTTAAAATCATGGTCAGCTGCACACCATAACAAGATTCAGCATGATGTTGAAATGACGAAAATGCCACTACTACTTATTGGTTCTCAGCTCCGACTACAGATCAGTGTATCTATATTGTATATAATAGGATAAAGAAGGGCAGGAAAAAAACAAGAACAAAAAACGAAGCAGGAAAAAAAGCAGTAAAGCGAAAGAGAGGGAGAGTTGTTTTTCTGGTATTCTTTTTTCTCACGGGAAACAAGCAATGAGCAGAGAGAGACAAAACAAGAATTTTGTCACAAGTCTTGGAAGGGGGCTTTACCGTCTTAAGCTTTGCAACATCGTCCTTGGTGGGCGTCTCACGTGATCCACACACCCTCAAGACCTCCTCGCGTGCTTGAGCCTGCCACTGTGGATGCATTGCTAGTAGGACCGTTGTCCACGTCAGCAAGTTTGATGTGGTGTGCTGGCCCGCAAAAAAAAAGCTCTTGCACTCTTCAACAATGTCGTGTACGGTTACATCGGCACATGAATGTGAGGCCTGAATCATTAGCCCTAACAAATCCTTGGGACAGCTATCTTGATGCGCTTTGTTAACGCTCGATTTCTCTCTTCTCCTTTCAATGAGCCTCATCAGTGATTTCTTGATTTCTTTGTCCAATCTCCACGAATTAATGTTCCTTCTTGTCGGAAAGAACCTGAAAAATCGAAAGGCATTTTCTTTAGCCCATATAGATGGAATGGAATTGAAATTCTTCGCACATCGACATGTACTTCGATTAATTACCTGTAACCAGGGATTAGAACTCTTCGGAATGCCACAGCAGCGAGGACCATTTGCTGTGCTTGCAATTGAAAAATGGCCTTTCCATCTTCGTAGCTGCTGCCAAATGCTGTTCGCGTAATGACGTCTTCTGTTAGGGTTTGGAACCATTCGGAAACTTCAATTTCCACCTCGTCAGAATTTGTCATTGCCGACCATTGCTCCAGCATATCGATTACGCTCTTTGCCACCACAGGTACTAGCAACTGCAGAAATTAATATAAAAGAATTTAAGTACACTCTCATACTTTCTCTTTTGTTTTCTTCCGGCCCCTGAGCCCATACATCCAAGTTATTTTATAACTTTTAAACTTACCTTGAGATTTTCCATGTGGAATGTGGGTGTTATGATTTTCCTATGGAGAGCCCATTTTTCTCCTTTGAGGCTTAGGAGTCCATCACCTTCTAGTTGCTTAACAAGAGGGTGAGCCTCAACTTTCTCATACAATTCCGACTTGGATGTAAAAATTTCTCGGATGAGATCTGGATCAGAGACGGTAAGTCGAACCGTGGGTCCGAACCACACAAGAAACGTTGCACCTGCAATAAACACCGGGTCATATCAATTCAAATCCTGTTACTCACGTAAGCGGGGAAATTGTCAGGCGAGACAGGTTAATAATTCTGTACACAAAATAATCGGAAGAAGTAAAGCGGAAAGAAGTGTTTTCAGCAAGCGGGAACTTGAATATATACATGGTCGAGTAGCAATTAAGAGGCAAATTCGCAAAAAGAAATAAGATGGAAACATGACCACCATTAATTCAGAGAGCATGGATAGTGTAGACCCTACATGAAAGAGAGCAGATACAAAAGAAAGGAGGCAAGAAGACAACTGAAACTATTCTGATTGCTAACACCAACAGCTTCATCATCAGTGAACAAGTACCCAATAAAACAGAAAAGCCATAAGCAAAAGGAAATCACTTTTAATTAAAAAATATATAGCCTGGTTTTAAACTCTAGAAAGAGGAAGTTGCAAGAAAAAGAAAAGAAAGAGAAAAAAAGGGAAAGAAAACAAGAAGTGCAACAGTCCAAAACACAGAAGTTCAACATCCGGCATCCAGGCACAGAAAGATGCTGAAAAGTTGTTAAAAGAAGTACCTGAACTAAGGGGTAAAAGGCCTTTTAAAAGTCACAAAATTTGGAGGATGGATCACAGGCCAAGCTAAAGAAACACATCATAGCAGAAGCACCCAACATCAACAGCTTTAGTGATATTTTCAAGGCAAACTCTTGCGAATATGTGGTTTTGACAAAGATAAGGTTGAAAAGCCACGTTGTTTTAATACACATTTAATTATGGTTCTCAAATAACTGTACATTTGTATCACCAGGCACAATTACAAGAAACATTTTAGTTCATCATCGATCAAGAACACAAAAGATCGAAGAGGACAAATTGCTAAAGAAAATTCAAAACCAGTCATTTTAAATGTTGAAGCAATGACCAAAAAAGTAAAGGAATGGATACACAGTACCGTAGATTTTCTTCCAGTGATGGTAAAAAGAGAGAACTCTAGGAAGAATGTTGTGAGAGAAAGGCATGGGTTGAGAAGAGGCCTTTAACATCATTTCCACGATCTCCTTCACGTTGCCAATGAAGAAACGATAAGGGGGTCCTCTGATTCCTTGCTTGGAAAAATGTTGTTCAATTCTTCGGGGTGTACACCATAGCAAGACTACAATCTTTATCAAAAAAACTAATGCCAATAAGGAGATGGCAAGCAGCTTAATAAGCCAGTAATAATACAAGAACAGCTCCTTCATGTTAAAAGAAAGGGTGGGAATGCTTGCTTTCCAGATAGAGCTTAGCGCACAGTCTCTTCTCTTCTCCGATTCCTAAGAGTGGAGCAGCAGCCTTTTCTGTTTTTGCTTCTTATCTACCCTGCTCTCTCTCTCTATCTCTCTCTCTCTTCTTTTTTTATTTCCGCTTATGTTGGTTGTTTTTTTCACCTGTGAGCTAGTGTGTGCTGGCTTTTCAATACAAATTTTTTGAGTGAGAGAGACAGCCTAATAAGCAAGGCCAACGGCGTAGGGGCCGCCAATGGAATTCTAAGGGTCAACGACTAACGAGGATATTGTTTTCTTTTGCGAAAATCTTAAGAGTTTCTTTTTAATTAGCAGCAGAGTGCAACAAGAAAATTAGACAAAGTAGCAAGATTAAAAAGTCAATTAAGAAAATAACATAATTAATATATTATTTTATTAAAACAATGCAACCATGTAACTTATACTATTAATTAAAACAACAAAATCTTGCTACTTTGTCAAAAAATAAATAAATTAAAACAACAAAATCTATTCAAATATAAATTTTTTGTTTGTGACTTTTGAGTTAAATTTAGAATTTTAAATAATAGTCTCCTTCTAGAAATAAAAAAAATTGATTTATTAATTTTTTTATTCTCAATAATTATGATATTTATAGATGAGAAATATTAATTATGGTGAACTTGAACTTCAACAGGATTCCTTAATTATTAGGTTAATTAATAATTATAACTATTAGGCTAATTAATAATTATTATAATTATTAATGAAATTGATAACTCATAGCAAAATTAGATTTTAAGAGGATTTTGTAATGGATAGGTTAATTAATAATAATGATAATTATCAAACAGAATATGACTTCTATTAATATTATGTGGATTAAATATGTTCGTGGTTTAAATATATTCATGAAACGAGAAATGATATGAATCAAATATGTTCGAGAAATGAGATATTTTGACTTATAGAGTTAAGGAATCCTATTGAAATTTAATTTTATTATAACTATTAAATTTCATTAATAATTATTAATTAACTATCTAGTTAAGGAATTCAAATAAAATTTATATTGACTACAACTAATAATTCTCAATGATAATTATTATCATTATTAATTAACTTGCATAGTTAAGGAATTCTATTAAAATTTAATTTTCCGATACCTTCATTAACAATTATCATAACTATTAATTAATCTATCCATTAAGGAATTCTAATGAAATTTAAATTGACTAAAAATACTTATTTTCTATGATAATAATCAGAATTATTAACTAGTATATCCACTTAACTAAAACTAATCAATTTCTTAGATAATTATCATAAATATCAATTAACCTACCCTATAATGAACCATATAAAAAATTAATTTGACTACATCTACAAAATTAACATAGTTATTAATTAACTTACCCAATCATATCAAAAATTAATTTGACTACAACTACAACTAATAATTAATTAAGATAGTTATTAATTAACTTACCCATTTAACAAATCCTATTAAAATTTAATTTGAATAATACTAATCAATTTCATTGATAATTATTATAATTACTAATTAAACTAGTTAAGGAATCCTATTGAAATTTAATTCGACTATAACTAATCAATTTGATTGATAATTATTATAATTATTATTTAACCTACCTATTAAGGAGTCTTATTGAAATTTAATTTGACTATAACTAATTAATTTCATTGATAATTATCATAATTATTAATTAACCTATCCATTTTATGATTTTTTTTAACTTTCTCTTTCTTGTATATGTCTTCTCTAAAAAATAAAAAATTCAAAAATATTTTTTCCAAACACTTGCACCCATTTCATAACTTTCAATGTCTTCCAAAAAATTAAAATTTAAAAATATATTTTCGATGCATTTCAACCATTAATGTGTTCATTTTGAAATTCTTGATTGCTTTTTTTATCGAATCACTTACACAATCATTATGTGAACAATATATATAGATGATTTCTTTATATAAAATTGTCATGGAGGTTAGTTTAGTATATATGTCTTATAACAAGCATATACATATTAGTTCTAGGTATCTTATATACCTCAACTTATGAGAACAACTGTTTCCTTTCATAAAGAAAAGAACATAAATATATAATAAACATTTTAGAAACAATGCTTTGATGCAATAAAAATTATATAATTATAACAACTTTATAATTCCCTTTTGCAAAGTATTTTTGTCTCATGGACTTTATCTTTACTCTGGATTCATTAATCTAATATTATATGAGTATTAAAGATAAATTAAGCCTTTATTAATAATAAATATGTATTTAAATGAATATAATAATGTCATGTGTAACCAATCAATTAGCTACAAGGCATATTAAACTAACATAGTAACCTACATAACTATTCATGATCAAAAAATTAATGTCTTCTACCAAGTGTAGGAGTGTCGAAGTAATAAATAACCTGTTAAGACCTGAGTTAAACCACAAGAAGGTTAATTATATAAATTATAAATAACAATAATACAACAA